AAAAAAAAAAAAAAAAAAAAAAAAAACAGGCAAAGCCCTTCCCCCTGTGCCGGAGGCGGCTCCAGAGGGACAGGCTCACCGGTGCAAACACAGATCCCTCCACAAGAGCTCTTCCACAAACTGGAAAATAACGAAGCGTGGCTGGGAAACCCAGCATTTTTCTTTTTTTTTTTCCTAAGGAAAAAAAAATAATCGCGGCAGACGATACACGTTGGGAAACCCTCCAAGAGCGTGACCTTTAGCTGAGCAGAGAGGACGGTCACACCAAGTATGCCTGAGGATTGCACGCACATGCAAAGGAGCTCCAGAGGATTTTCCAAACCCTCCACAAACAGACTGCACATCTCCTTTAAAAAAAAAAAAATTTAAAAAAAAAAAAAGGGAAAAAAAAAAAAAAAGAAAAAAAAGAAATGTTTTCTTCTCTGTTTGGCTGTCAGGGGGATGCTCCAGTCAGGGTTACACACGGCATTACCCAACCCTGCACTGCACTCTGGGAGGGTTTGTTTCACGTGGACTCTCAGCTGAACAGCAGGAATGAGCCCTCTCCCCTAATTTTAAAGGAAAAAGGAAAAGGAAAATGAAGGGTTAGATTCCTCATTACTCCAAGGAATCTTTTCACTGCTCTGACAATGAAAAGGAGTGCGGGGAAGCGTGGTGGAGAAATCCATTCATCTTCTGAGGGTCCTTGGCTCAGCCAAAATGAGATGATTCAGCTTAAGCCCAAAAAACCCTCACAGCGAAGCGACAACCAAACCCACTCCTGTCGCAGAACGATGCAGGGGACTCGACCCTTATCTCTGGAAAACTGGGATCAGAGGTAAACCAACCTGATGTGACCGTTTCCATCCCGCCTCCCCTACGGCCGCTGGAGCCGCACAATGTTTCCAGCGCTTTGGAAAAATAGTTTCAGGTTCTGCTGCCTCTATCTTGGCACCGAAACCAAGTTTCCATCAGTGAAAGGCTGAGGGGATGACTGCACTCCAGAGCTGAAATGGGGGAACCAGCAAAATGAGTAAGATGCAGCTCAACACACGCTGGGGTCTTTGTCATAAACCTGTGCTGAAGAATGGGGGTGCATCAGCTTTTTTTTTTTTTTTTTGGGGTGGGGGGGGACACAAAACACCCAAACCACACAGGGAGGTGCTTTTAAAGAGGATTTCTGGGCTGTGTGTGCCAGCTAATCCACCACTGCCATGGATCAGCCAGGATGGCGTGGGATAACCGGTGTGGGGACACACCCTAGGAGGGTGCAGGATACCCCAGGATGGGCAGGGGTACAGGGAAGAAGGGATCCAGCCCGGGAGGACACCCCTGGATCCAACAGGGTCTCCCCAGGCGGCGAAGGTGCAGGAAGGCAGCAGGCAGGGAAGACAGGGAAGCTGATCTCCGACTTGCTGCCAACGGACGCCGAGGTTATTCACGTCCAAACAAATAATTCTGCTATAAATAACACGGCTGCTCCAACTTCCTGAGCGAAACCCTTCTCCTCTGGAGCTCCCAGAGGTGGAAGGAAATGGCGTCTCCTGGAGGAGCTCACGGCAGGAGGTGGAACCCCCCCAGCGCCCTTTTGGGGGGGGAATCACAGACCGGCTCCTCCTCACGCTGCCCCCGTCCCCCCAGAACCAGCTCATGCAGGTGGGACACGCAGCTCAGTGCGCATCAAGGACAAAAAAAAGCATTTTTCCTTCTTTCCTGACTTTTTCCTTCTCTTTGTGCCACAATTACGAGCTCTGCAGTTGAAGCCATTAAGTGGCAGCTCCTCACGTGCATCTTTCTGGCACCGCTTCTCCGGCCGAGCACGGCAAAGGCACCTTGGAGGCAAAAAAGCATCAAGACTCATCCCTGGCGAGGAGCCAGAAGGTGCTGCCGGCATCTCCAGGCAGCAGGGATGCAACAGGGACCCAAGCCAGGCGCGAGACGGAGCTGGGAAAGGTGCAGGTATTCCTTGGATCCTCTTGTCTTTGGAGCATCTCAGTTCCTGCTGCTGCTGGGCTGCCTGGAGGAGTCTCCATGGGATGGAAACAGCAGTGGTCAGGTGCACCTGAGCCCTGCCCTGAGGGAGACATGAGGCTGCTCCCAAAACCTCCTGCTTCCTGAGGCACAGCCATCCGTCTAGACAGAGGACATTCCTCGCCCTCCACCAGCCCAGAGCCCGGTCTGAGCCATGTCCTCACTTGCCAAGGGCAGGATCTGAGGTGAAATCCTGCAGGGAAGAATCTTAATCCTCCCAGGAAAGCCAAGCACGCCTCAAGAAGATGTTCTGGCACCTGCACTGCCTGGACCACAGAGGGTTCAGCAGGAGAACGCCCAGGTGTCTCCTCCAGCCCCAGGAGCTCTTCATGGAGAGGCCACGTCTGGCAAGACACCTTGGACACCTGGGATAACCAAGTGCCTGTCTGGATGCCCAGGAGGACACTTGCTAGGGTGGAAACATCCCT